ATTAAAAAAATTGCCCAGCAGCTGACGCCAATTCAAGAAATAACTAATACTCTATTGTGCTACACCGACATTGGCTACACTTTCGATTACAATAATCGTCTGCATTATTCTAATTATTCTATTTTTTATCAAGGAAAAGAAATTTAGAAAATCAATACCCACAACCAAAGAAGGTACCACAAATTTAAATTCCAAAAATACCTCCGTTATTTTTTCATCCTAAGGACGGAGGAGTTACGTGATACAATTCCGAGAATAGTGCCGAGCCAGCTGCTGCTGGATATATAATATAACACTTAATCAGGACTTTTGTAATTGCTTGTTTTTTATTGTTAACAAATGTAACACTCTTAATTAAACCTTTGTTGTAGTAGCAACCAAAATATTGTTCTTAATAAAAATAAAATAATTTTTTAAAAACGCTTTTTAGAATCCTCATCGTTTCTTGCGCCAACTTATATGTCTTTTTTCTTTAATTTCTTGTACTTTTATCATCAAATCGGATAATGGCAAGTAAAAATAGAAACCGGTTTTTACTCATACATGCCTAAAAATATTTAAAACCGGTACCGTCTGATGTCTAGAGTTCCAAAAAGTAAGTGTGATTTTGCTTCTTATATTTAGATAACAATAGCAAACCCATATAAGTGCTATCATTTCTGTTTTTGATACGTCTTGAGCATCACGTTCTCTTATAAATTAAGACCTTACGAAACGTACAGATTCGTTTATTCAATTATGTACTCTATTATTTTATTTGTAAATATCTTCATAAAAAAATCTACTTCATTTTAAATGTCCCTAGCTTGTTGTTTGGCACCGGGAAAGATTTTCACATGATTTTTAGCGCTCACTTTACTGAATTTGCTATTTAGCGAATTTCTGTTCCATCTTAGTTAGTTTATCTTTGGCAATAAAGTAACTGCTATTTCAAATATCTTCTATATCATCAGAGTCGCTACCTTAGATATCTTATTCACAGTCAGGTTCAGTGAATTTACGTACTCTTCAGAAGAAGTCGGGTAATTCTTCTTCCGAATCAGAGTGGCAAATGAATTGATCCAGTTTCTCTAATTCCGCCTGCGTCAATTTGTTTAAGTTTTTTGTTTTTACTTTGTCTCTGAAATATTAAAAAATGTTAAAAGATCGACATTAACTCTAATTTTATGGACAAATAAGGGCCTTTTTTGGCTGTCAGTATTACTTACATAGCAATCCGCGCGGTGTAATTCATACACGACTGTAATGCACTAAAGAAATTGCCAATAAACCAACTAACTTTCCAGACACCATAACGCAACTGTCTGAGAACCTAGAAAACACATTGGTCGAGGGTTGTATCGATGGACATGAGTAGGGGATACCGCATTGGGTTTTTACCGCCATTTTAGTAGAAATGGTGTATTTTATACACCGGGACGGGTAGTTAAAGGTTAATAAGCATAAAACTGCGCAACTTTTGTCCAATTTAACAAACCTTCTATGTCAGCGTTTAAAAAATAGCAATACTGTCCTTATGAAATAATAGGGGCCCTGTATTGTACAAAAAGCATAAAAATGCTCCTTTTTGCCACGCGAAGTGATACGACAGCGACAAAAATTTCGCATTACTATGTGGGACATGGACATTTCATACATTAAACTTTCCTTAGATGAAAAGGCTATCCCAAAATTATGTACATAGAGCTACTCTACGTTGGTGAGATCAAAATAAGTCAATTAAGCTATTACCTATATCCTATATTCCAATAATTAATACGACCTATAAAGAGTTCTAATAAAAATATATGGTTTATTTATTTCTTATATTGTAGTTTCTTTTAGACCACACTGTATAATATTTACGTACCATTAATAACAAAAATTCATTATCTGTAGCTTCGTTGATGAACTGTTAATTTCCTCTGAAGTAAATACTTTAGACTTCCTTGCACGATAACTTTGAAAATGCTCTTAATTTTTCATGCCAAGCTACATATCTATTATTATTATTATTAATATTAAGGGTTGTTCATTACATGGAATAATGCCTCTATAGATTTGAAGGATTAAATTTTTTGCGATATTAATAAAATGGGCCAATAGGTCGTTTTCAGAAAATCTATGTGTTTTGTGCGTTTATTTTTATTAAACAAACAAATTTTTATGCTATTTGATAGATTCCTATTAAGTCTTCCGGTATTAAATTTGCACATGTATCATTTGCTGCTCCTATAGGGACCGTGCGTGAAATATAGAGGCAGCACTACTGCCGAAGTTAGCCCTCTCTAGTGTTTAATTTTAGAATTAAATGGGGTAAACATTGCAAGTAAATATAAAAGGATATTTTTTAAAATATTAAATAGTTAAAAATGGATACCGGCCCGTACCAAACAATCGTGTACATGGTCAATATGACGTAAAATGTGAAACATTATTAAAATCTGAGCATGTATATACATTTTAAGCAAAAAGATTTAAATGGCTAAGTGACAATAAATTGTAAAGTTGTACCTTAAACAAGTGTATCCAATGTCAAAATATCGATACTTAGTAACACTGAATTTAAAAGTATTACAATAACATTTAAAAAATGTAAATTAATAAAAAAGATTGATAATAATAATAAATCTTTTTAGCTTTATGTTAGACGAAATGTCATTCATCCACTGACGTTTATGAGGTGTCCAATGATACATATTATAGATTGCTCACCCATCTATAAAAAAATTATGAAAAGCGGGTTGCAATGTGCCTTTCCTAGTGCTCACTAAATAGAGCCGTTCAAGCCCAAATTTGTTTTAAAATAAAATTTCAGCATTTTAATCTTTAGAAAAAGTAAATAATTAAAGTTTTACTTCAAGACATGTTATTATGTATTTGGAAAGTTGACTTTCCATGTAGTTAAATAATATTAAGAGATCTAAACAATTTTTATAACAGATGGATATAAATAATTTTAGACTACTCTTATTTCAGAAATAATGCTACATAAAATACATAATTGCAATATGTAATACAATTTTGAAAAGGTAATGTAAACAAAATTGATATGAGGTATAAACAACTTTGGTAAGAGTTGTAAGTGGACACTTATCTATTATTCTGAATAATGTTTAATGGTAATGTCACTAAAAAAATTTACAAAAAATCACTGGATTTTTAATATTTTAAAGCTTGTTGCAATCTCTTTTGACAGTAATTGCAATGTATTATTTATTATTTGTTTATTTTAATAATAAATGAGAAATAGTTAATAAATTGTAAAGAGGGCCATGATATTTTTGTCAAATTGGACATTCTTATTTCATAATAACATTCTACATTAATTAACAGAATAAACCATTATCTGTAAAATTATATTTATATAAAATGTTCATTTAAATATGTAAAAATCTTAATGACAAAAAAACACTAAAGATTCTAATTTCTAAACCGGTTCTGTAAATGATTTCTTTACAACTAAGTGCTCAAAATAGATACAAGCTAGATAAAAAGAAAACTTTGCCCAGTGAAATACGCTTTTCGTCGTCTGATTTACATATGGATAAGCAATCTTTGTAATTATGTATATCATTGGGTGTGAGACATTAATTGTTGTGCTCTGTGGAAATTTATAAAATTTCTTTACTATCGATGAAATCCAGGTTTCCAAAGTGATGTGTTTGTACATCCACAAATGCAACAAGTTTTTTCGATAATGATACTACGAAAATAATTCGACTTTATTTAATTAATAATTATTAAACAATAAATGCCGTAAAAACATTAATAAATACCCCCCATAGAGTTCACATTTTTGTCACCAGTTAGCGTTAAAGTCATGACGCACGGTCCCTATAATATTCGGAGTTTTTAATTCTAACTCGCTATCACTAATTTTCATGTTAGTTTAATTCAAAATTTGATTAAAAAATGTGACATTTACAAGTAACTGACAACTAACAATCAATTGTCAAAATTTAATAGAAAACGTATATTTGATCATAATCAACTTGTACTCATTTTGCATTAGTTTTCAATGCAACTGGTGCGAAACAAAAAGTTCTTATGCAATGTACAATGTTTACTATTTAAAAAACGAATCTTAATTGAGATTTTTAACTCACTTCAAACAAGTATTAGAAATTAAATATTTAAAAAAACCGACTTTAAAAACGTGCAGATGCCGTCACCACATCTTAGCCAAATTTATATGGGACCACCCCTGAGGTATCCCCTTACTAAAAAAAAAGAATCATATAAATCGGACAAGGTGGTAAAGCATTATCGCTAAACATACATAAAAAATGAAGAGTTTGAGGATTTTCTCATGAACCGAATTATTAGATTTTGACCAAATTTCTATGGGACTACCCCTGAAGTAGCCCCTTTTTAACAAAAAAAGAATTATTAAAATCGGACACTGTGTTAAAGAATTATCGCTGAACATACATAAAAAAAAATATCGCGACGAATTGATAACCTCCTCCTTTTTAACCGACTTCAAAAAAGGAGGAGGTTATCAATTCGTCGCGATATTTTTTTTTATGTATGCATGTTCAGCGATTATTCTTTAACACGGTATCCAATTTCAATGATTCTTTTTTGGTAGAAAGGAGGTACTTCAGGGGTGGTCCCATATACATTTGGTCCAAATCTTATAATTAGGTCCATGAAAAAATCCTCAAACTCTTCATTTTTTATGTATGTTTAGCGATAATGCTTTACCACCTTGTCTGATTTATATGATTCTTTTTTTTTTTTGTTAGTAAGGGGGTACCTCAGGGGTGGCCCCATATAAATATGGTTAAGATGTGGTGATGGCATCTGCACGTTTTTGAAGTCGATTTTTTAAATTTTTAATTCCTAATACTTAAGTCTTTCCCTTAATTTATTGTTATTTACTATAGTCGTAGGAAAGAAGTATTATTATATCCACTTATTTACTTCTGTCAATATTTAAAATGGATTATTTTAAAAGCAATCGTTTTTTTTTTAATGCATCAACCAAATGTCAATATATCTATAAGTTTACCTACCCAATTTAGTCCCTGTACTATCCCAAAGTAAGGAGATAATTATATCTTCATTGCATCTTATATCATCGACAACTGTATCTAAGTTTCTCATTACTCGGAGGTAACTTGCTTCTTCATTATTATCAAATATACTTAGCTAAAATAAAAAATTGTGTTAAAAAATATAAAAATAAATTGTTAGGTAGCAGGTTACTACATAATTAAAGGGAAATGTTTTAATGAGGGGGTGTTATAAATTAATATACCATATACAATGGGTTTTGTGGTCTTTTTATTATTGGGATACCTACAGTATTGATTTTGCTAATTCGATAAACATAACTAAAGCATCATAAAGCATCAAGTATATTTTTTTATATTTGGTACATGATTTCGTTACAGTGACCAGACGACTAACGTACTAGCCAAAATAAATATCCATGCCCGGACAAACATAAAATATATAAATTATCAGTTACAGTTCAGCTATCAATAGGTGAAGATATATGTTTAACCCTTTCTTTACCAGTGACGTATAAATACGGCGAAACATACTTTGTCTCTCAGCCCCACTGTCGTATATATACGTTCACCGTTGAAATGTCTCCGAACCCTCCGCCTCATATATATGACATTTATTTTTTTACATGCTTTCCGACCCGCCGTCTCATTTATACGACAGTCTAATCGTGTTTATAGGCCCAGTGTCGTATTAATACGTTTATAAATAAGTGACATTCGAACCACTGCCGCATATATACGACATCAACGAAAAATACCGAAAAATTCCGAAATATCGCGTGACCTCTAGACGGCAGGGGAAACCTGGCAGAGCGCCGCGCCGTTCAGTCGCTTAGCAGAAAGAACGCCCTTCAGTCGCACTTCGCAGTTATTTCCGTTACGAACAACTAGTACGACGTGAGGTACGCAAGTAAAATGGCGTCAAGTCCGTCGCGAAAAAGAAAAGGAGTTGAGAGTTATGGTGGTGTATGCGGCCTCACGGGTGACGATCTAAATAACATTTTGGGATGTTTCGATTCCGATGAAGATCCTTACGTTGACAGTGGAAGTGAGTATCAGCCTGAGTCGACAGATAGTGGGGCAGGTAGTGAAGATCACGAGATTGACGGTTTTTTGTGCCCCGAAAACGAGTGTCTTAGCGAGACAGAAAATGATATAAATGAGGAGGTGAGCAAAAACGAAAGTGAAGCGGCGAAAAAGCCAAAAAATGCTTTGAATGAGAATTTTTCTATAGAGTGAAGGAAGCGCTAATTTACCCCTGTAATACATAACTTTGATGACTCAAACTCTGGAGCACGTGTAGAGAACATAGAAAAGCCTTCAAAAGAAATGGATTATTTCCTTTTATTTATGAACGACGAAGTAGTGGAAATTATTATAAGCGAGACCAATAAATATGCCTCAGAACAGACACGTTTAAATAAAAATATTATTTGGAGCCCAATTACTAAAGAAATTTTTTTTAATTTTATTGCTGTACTCCTACTTGCTGCTCGCCATAGAAAAAATAAACTTGTGGAAAATTGGTCAACAGATGAATTACTTTACACTCCTATATTCGGGAAAGTGATGTCAAGGAATCGCTTTCAAACGATATTGCGTATGTTACATTTCGCAGATAATGCTGAACAAATTCGAGGTAACTCTTTTCATAAAGTACGAGGAGTTTTTGAAAAAATTAAAACCGCATTTGCTCATAAATTTTCGCCGTTCCAGAACTTGGTGATTGACGAGAGCTTAGTACTTTTCAAAGGGAGGCTGCTCTTCAAACAATTCATAAAAACAAAACGCCATCGTTTTGGCATCAAACTATTTCTCTTGTGCGATTGTGAGACAGGGTATATTCTACATTTTATAGTATGTACAACAGAAATAGAGCTGTATCAGGACCTGGGAGTGTCGGGGTCAGTTGTAACAACACTAATGCAACCGTATTTGGATAAAGGGCACTCTCTTTTCACAGACAATTGGTATACCTCGCCAGCACTTTCTACCTACTTATTTCAGCATAAAACAAACTCATGCGGTACAGTTAGGGCAAATAGAAAGAATATGCCAAATTTATCAGGTAATTTGAAAATGGGAGAGACAACGTCGATGGCCAGTGACAATATTCTGGCAGTCAGATGGAAAGATCGTCGGGAAGTCAACATGCTGACAACTTTTCACAATGACCAAATGATACAGTTGGATAAAAAAAACCGGAACACAGGGGAATTTGTGTAGTCCACTACAACCAAAATATGGGGGCAGTTGACAGGACCGATATAATAATAATAATAATAATAATAATAATAATAATAATAATAATAATAATAATAATAATAATAATAATAATAATAATAATAATAATAATAATAATAATAATAATAATAATAATAATAATAATAATAATAATAATAATAATAATAATAATAATAATAATAATAATAATAATAATAATAATAATAATAATAATAATAATAATAATAATAATAATAATAATAATAATAATAATAATAATAATAATAATAATAATAATAATAATAATAATAATAATAATAATAATAATAATAATAATAATAATAATAATAATAATAATAATAATAATAATAATAATAATAATAATAATAATAATAATAATAATAATAATAATAATAATAATAATAATAATAATAATAATAATAATAATAATAATAATAATAATAATAATAATAATAATAATAATAATAATAATAATAATAATAATAATAATAATAATAATAATAATAATAATAATAATAATAATAATAATAATAATAATAATAATAATAATAATAATAATAATAATAATAATAATAATAATAATAATAATAATAATAATAATAATAATAATAATAATAATAATAATAATAATAATAATAATAATAATAATAATAATAATAATAATAATAATAATAATAATAATAATAATAATAATAATAATAATAATAATAATAATAATAATAATAATAATAATAATAATAATAATAATAATAATAATAATAATAATAATAATAATAATAATAATAATAATAATAATAATAATAATAATAATAATAATAATAATAATAATAATAATAATAATAATAATAATAATAATAATAATAATAATAATAATAATAATAATAATAATAATAATAATAATAATAATAATAATAATAATAATAATAATAATAATAATAATAATAATAATAATAATAATAATAATAATAATAATAATAATAATAATAATAATAATAATAATAATAATAAATTTTATTGACCTCATATTAACCATTTACAAACAACTTTACAAAGTAAATAAAATATACAAACGGTCAAAAGGACTTATGATCAGTTAAAAACTGTTCTTCCTCAAAAGCCTACATGAAAGTAAAAAAAAAAATATTAAAATACGTATAACTATAAAACACGGATGAACAACAAAAAATATATATATGTATATACAAACACAACAAAAAACTTTTTTGACAGGATTTTTTTAACATTTTTTTCAACATTTTTTTGCATTGTATACATTTTTTTTTAACATTTTTTTTAACAGTTTTTTGTATCACGTTTTCTTAATAATGGTTTACAATTTTTTACATTTATGGGTTTAATTTAACAATGGAAGGATTTGAAAAAATAACGCACTGTTCTTCAAATAATAACTTAGTTATATGCTTTTTATAACGTGGCAAGGACATTTTTTTAAATTCATTTGGAATTTCATTATAATGTTTTGCAATCTGATAAAAGAAAGAATTTTGAAATTGAAATGTTTTATGTTTAGGGATATCTATGAGTTCCTTTCTACGTATATTCATACAAGTGTTGTGAATGTCGGACCCTAAATCTAATTTTGTCAAAGAGGTATGTCGGAGAATGTGTAGATAATATTTTATGAAAAAAACACAAAGCATGCGCTTTTCTACGATTTTCCATGTTTAGCCATTTAGCTAATTTTAAGGTGTGGGAAATTCTATCAAATTTACGGATGCCGTAAGTTAGCCTTAAACATGAGTTCTGCAATTTTTGAAGCCTCCTTCTTTGTACACAGTCAAGGCAGGGGCCGTAAACATAATCGCAGTAGTTTGCAAGTGATAATACCATAGAGTCACAGAGTTCCTTTTTTAAGTTTGAATTTAAGACTTGTCTATTGGTATAAAGGAGTTTTAGCTTACCATATGATTTTTGCAGAATATGAGAAACGTGACGATCAAATTTAAGTTTATTATCAAATACTACACCTAAATTTTTAGCAAAGTCAGATACTGGCAATAAGTTATTTTTAATTTTGATATTACAAACATGGTTACTCTTAGATCCGAATGTTAGAACAGTTGATTTAGATGTGTTAATTACAAGGTCGTGACAAGATGAGAACTCTACTAATGCATTGACATCATCATTAATAATTTTTTCTGAGGCTGTAATTTCAGACGGGTCAAAGAAGTAGTATAGTTGAGTATCATCAGCATACATATGGATGCTGCATCTACTTATAGCTGATACCAAATTATTAGTATAAATGGTGTAAAGTTAAGGGCCTAAAATAGATCCTTGTGCCACTCCACGCATTACGGGGCCAGCATTTGATTTGCTTCCATTAAATACTACTCTTTGACATCTTCCTGTTAAATAATTTCTAAAAAAATGTATAGTTCGTTTCTCAAATCCTACGAAATTTAAAATTGTTAATAATAAGTCATGAGTGATCATGTCGAATGCCTTGCTGTAATCTAATAAAACTAATACTCCAATTTTACCTTTATCTCGTTGTTTTAAGATATCATCTGTGATATTAGATAAGGCTGTAACGCAACTATATCCTGGTCTGAATCCTGATTGTGTGTGTGGAAGTATATCATATTTGTTTAAATGATCACGTGTTTGTTGCTCGACAACTCTTTCTAAAACTTTGGAAATGGTTGGTAAAATGGTAATAGGACGTAAATCAGATACACTTTCTAAGGGTTTCGTTTTTGGGATTGGCAGTACTAACCCTTCCTTCCATGATTCTGGAAAAACTGAGTTTATTAAACAGTGGTTAATTATATGTGTTATGTATGGAATTAGAAAGGGACACATTAATTGTAAGGTTTTTATATTAATTCCATCTGAACCACATGCTTGTGTTTTTATATTTAAAAT